GGCCCTGGACAGGGAATAAATAAACAGTTAGAGCATGTGGTAATGGTAGCCTGATCTTTTTTCACAGTTGGGAACACCTATGTCCATTTAATTCAATTAAGCTTGAAATTTTGTATTGTGTTTGAACTCTCTTTGAAAATGACCGGTCTCTCTGCTGTTGAAATGTAGGTTTATCTTGGAAGCGTATCCAGAGGTTAGTTTCATGGTAGTTAACGTTTCAGTGTTTTAGAAGATGAGAAGATGAAGGTATCTCCTCATATTCTCACTTCTTATTGATGATTATTGATTGATGATTACATTTGAAACAATAAAATCTATTAGCCCTTTATGGGAATACAGTAGTAAATGATACCTATCAGTTATTTAGGGTGTCCACAGGTACCTGTAACCTTCTCCCCTCCTCTCCCACTCCCCTCTTTCCCAAATGACACTGATAGCAGTTTATGACATATATACAGAGTAAGTTATAAGCGTAGCTGCTTCTGTTAGAAGTCTTGAGAACAAAACTGAGATGATGATGATGATGTCTGAAAATACCAAAAATTTCTGGAGCTCTTTATTAACAAAAACCATTGTAATAAAACCTTAGAATAAAAGTAATTTTACAATAAAAATACTTAAAGGACTCTCCATTTCCAAATTCAAAAAAGGCCTCAGGATTGTTGTACTTGCGGTGGGATCAGCCGTGTCTTGGGAATTGCATCCCCTGCGTTTCTGTGGCAGGGAGCTCAGCTGGGAGCTCGCTCGGTGGTGCCGGCTCCAAGCGTTCCCGCGGCGCTGCTGACCGCGGCTCCGCCACTGCGGCCCCAATCCCTGGAGCTTCTCCGGGCCCGCGTGTGCTGACCCGCAGAGGGGCCAGCGGGCACGAAACCAAAGTCAGCACCAGTTCCCAAAAGGCTTCCCTTGGTCCTGAAAAAAATCACTGTCTAAAGCTGAGGACACCAGCACTGCTGCAGAGATGGTAATGAAGCCGAGACTGGGGCTCCAGAGCTGAGGAACAGGGACCTCAATCTACCTAACAGTGGGCGTAATGCGTTGACAGCTGATACCATTAATTGTATTTTATCACATTGGTAGTAGAAACAATGTCACCTTATTTTTGTTCATCTTAAAGCATATTATTATCAATGAGAAATTGTTTTATTGTATGATTACTAAACAATAGCTTTAAAAATGATTCACAGGTGTGAGTAACTGTTAATTTTAGTGTAACTTATATATTTAGTTTTCATTAATTAGGCCAGAAAAGGTTTTGCTGGTCTCAAGAGGGGTTTGAGTGTGATGAGATATATCTAGGATATAAATAATAAGATAGAAGGAGTGCTAATGGTTTTGCTATTTTTCTATCATTTTTATTAATGGTTCTGTACAGCTTGGAAGATCTATTGCACTCTGTAAGTGCTAAGTATTATTTAATAGTAACTATTTAAAATGACTGAGATAGAAGGGGTTATGATCTTGGGTCATGAGGGCTGATTAGGGAAATAACTGAATTTAAGTTCAATCATTGGGTGCTTCAAGCTGCAAGTTCCCTGTCTTTCTGGGAGGTTGGTGGGTTGCTGTTACTCATGGCCTACATAGGAGGAGGAGGTCAGAGGTACGGAGGCTCCGCTGAGGTGATTTGTTGATGTTTGGGGTTTGTTTTGTTTTCCATCTAAGCAATAGAAACCAGAAATGGAATCTCATACCTGGACGCCGCTGCTCTTTCCAGACTTCCTATCGAGATTTTTTTCCTATAGGCAAGTTGTAGTTTATGGGGCTACGGGATAGAGACAATGAAGTCAATTGAAATACCAATTAGATAGGAAAGTGGGGAACATAAACTGTTAAAGTTTGTCCTAATGGAAACTCGCCAAAGGACTAGAGTGCTTGGAATTGGAGCGGAGTTTGTGTTTAATGTACGTGTTGTAATATATGTGGTCACCACTTGAGCTCAGCCAGGGGTGGGTGAACAGGAATCCTAGACCTGCTGTCCAGCAAAGAGGTCTCTTCCCTCAAAGAGCCTTCAGCTATTAATATATTAATACAAAATCTTGTTTGCCTCGGTTTCCAAAAAATACATTGATTTTTAATACTGGGATCACTTAGCTAGAAGAAGTAGTAGTAATTAAAGTTATTCTCAAGTTGCTCAGTTTAGTTAGTTTAAAAATGCTTTATATAGTTTTTAGATGAAGTTATAAATGTTCACTTTGGAACTACCTGAAGATTAATAGTGATGCATTTGAAAAGCATTATTTTTTTATTGATTCTTAATGTAGTAAATTACTGAAGTTATTTGGCAGCAAACAGAAATAGCCAGTGATGTTGCTCACATTTATTTTCCTGATAGCGTCACAATTTGCATTAATTGCATTGCAGCTGCACTCACTTATATTAAAAAGCTTCTACTATAATTAATCCTTTTTATTTCAAATCATTTTGGCACAATTTCTAGCAATAAACACTCATAAAAGACAGACAGTTGAAAAATAACATACAAGTTTCTTCAATATACCTATTGCTGCTGTATCTTGACATGGAATTATTGATAGGCTTCCGGGATCAAGTGTTACAAGTGGCGAAGACTTAAGACTGGTATGAAAAATGCTAAGTGGATTATTTTGCATAAAAAATAGACAGGTTTTGAATTTGTGTAATTAACCTGTGTTTAGAAAATACCTTGATTTATGTCTACATTTGTATTTCAGTTGCATACATTATGGAAATTTAATTTATAATCCATTTAGCTGATGTGATCATAGTTTTTAGTGCTATCATTTATTAGTCCTTGTATATTAAATGCTCTAAAGGCTTAAACCTGCCTTGCGTAAAAAATTACACCTCTGCATTTACATTTTATGAGTCATAGATGGAATTCCATTTTAAATTCGAGTAGCTTTGATATATTTAAGGAATTACAATGGCTTTATTGTTACTAATGCAGGAACAGCAAACACTGACCTTATACATAGAAAATTAATGATTTATCCCTCTAGTTTGCTTTTAAAGTCAACTATACAAATGAGGATTTCGACTTCTACACCTTGAATAAATCATATAGCTCTAAATATAATGCGTCCTTTGGCTTTGAACACATTATTCTCAATTCTTTCTGCAAGGTCTAACTCACCTCGTAGAAATGTTCTTTCAGAAGTTTAAGAAATTGTATATTTTTCTTTTAAAACCTGTGTTGGAATATCATGAAGTGATTGCGACTACATTTGTTTTGAGGGCTTTTTGCTTGTACTTTATTTTCTGATTCTTGCAGGAGACTCTGGAGAAATAGGTAATGCTGATACACGGCTTTTAAAGAGGAAAAAGAGAGCAAATAATAGTGATTTGGTGTTCGTGATGCCGTGTCTGATCTGCCTGGCAGTGATATTAATGGTGCTTTTAAAGACTGGATTGTCGATGGTAGAGATGCTAATGTGGCAACACATGGGCAAGGGGAAAGGCTATGAATAGAAAACATATTTGTGGATTTTTTTTTTAAGGGAGAAATTTAGTGTTGTATTTCCTCTGTTTGCATAGACTTTCAGCATTGAAGGAATTTTGCTTTCTAGTCTGAAGATTTCCATTTCTCCTCCTCTCAAGGGTTGTCCTAAGGACTTTTTCACTTCTGGTCAACACTTGTTGATGACTATGTGAGCAGTTGTTCTGTGTGACCCTGAAATGCAGCAGTGAGTGAGACGGGCTGCAGTTGGTATCACTGGGGCTTTGTACATTTGGGAAGATTCCTGGGCAAGCCCTCGGCTTCCAGCAGAAATACACACGCGCCCGGGGCAGCTACATTTAGCTGGGGCTTTTCACGGCGGTACCAGTGACAGTTACAGCAGATTGAACATAGGATCCAGATGCTACTGATAGGCCCTGGCCTTGGAAAATTTGGGTGTTTTTCAATGATGTCAGTAACTAGTAGAATTCAATTGTCTTTTCTTTTAACCATATTGGATGGTTTTAGAAGGAATAAACTGAAATAGTGTGTTGTTTGTCAAAGTAAACACTGGTGAATCTGCATCACATGCAAGAGGAGTAGCATTTAAAAAATTGCTCTTTTTAAACAGTTTTTTTAAAAATCCTTTTTTTAAGGAGTATATAGTTACTTTTCAGGGTGAAACTGTATTTGTTTTCAATATAGCAGTTTATGAATGGAATAATCTTGCTTGTGGAGAAGCAGGAGGAGGAAGAGACAACTACTTTTTTGAAGACTTTTCTTGATGCAGTTGCATTGTTTTTAAGAAACTTTTTGTCTAACAAAAAAATGTCAATACGTTTTGGGTTTGACCTAGCAGTTTGGGTAAGAAGATTTAGGACGGATAAACCATGGCTTCCAGAAGTGACCTTTATATCACTATGTAGTTACTTTTAAATTTTTTTGAGCTTGCTGTATTTAAAAAGGATGTTCAAATTTCAGGCCTCAGTTAAGCATTATTAAAATGAGATCTTGTGATAGTACAAGATCTCGTTCAGGTACTAAATTAAAAAGAAATAACCAAGAAATGAAATGTGCAATAGCTTTTAGAATTTTTGTGTGTTACTAAAATAAAATCTGATATATTTTTCATCATTTTGATTTTAGGCTCTTTATGAAAATATGCTGGTGGAGCTCCCCTTTGCTAGTTTTTTCCTCTCAAAGTTACTGGGGACGAGTGCTGATGTTGACATTCATCATTTAGCTTCGTTAGATCCAGAGATGTACAAGAATTTGCTTTTCCTCAAGAGCTATGAAGGGGATGTGGAAGAACTTGGACTGAACTTCACTGTGGTAAATAACGACCTTGGGGAAGCACAGGTAAGATTGGGGCCTCTTGGCATTTTCTGTTACGTTAGGCTGATGAATCATTCACTACTAATGAATGTTTGAACGTGAAGTTGTTACGAGGTACATGCTGTCTCCTTCAGCTGCTGCTCTGAGTTTTCAAACTTGAGGGCCTGAAGTTAAAGCTTAAAAAAAGACCACAAAAAAGTCCACATTTTTGGAGGGGCTGAGCTGCCAGTTAAATCAGAAGGGAGGAAAATACTGTTCAGTACTTCTGAATATTGAGCCAGTTGTTTAGGTCCTTGCAGTATCAGCTTTTATGATAAGTCTACGCTGCAGAACTTTGTTGTTGTTCTGATGTGGATGGCAAAGATCATTTGTACTCATAGCAGAGAATCAATCATGAGGACTTGAGAAGTCTGAACGTGCTCGTGGAGTTGTGTCCATAAAGTTTGTATTCATGCTGCCTCTTTTGTGGAATAAAAATAGTGTAATTCTAACTGCTTGTTACATTAGATGATTTGATGATGCGTGTTACATTAGATGATTTGATGATTTAATGATTTAATGCTTATTAGTTATTTTTACAGTCTTAGTTCTATCAGTGTTTTAAAAGAAGAAAAATCTTGCTTTTATTGCTTTCTACTGGCTTTTTTACCTTCTCTGCTTTCTTTAAGAAAAGTCTCCTTCGATGGCTTGTTTTCAAATATCCTTATGAAACTCTCCTGCATCCTTCCATTATCTATCTATATATTCTTTTACATATATACATATATATGCATTTTTATATAAGGATGTCTTTTTCAGACCAGTAAGATGTCGGATTTTCACTCAGCAAAGAGAGTTTTCCCATTCTTGCCTTTGAGATGGTGTCAGCATCTGTGAAGTGTATTTAGCTGAGATATTAGGGAAAGTCAAATCCCTTCTGTGTGCCCTGGGCTGGGCTTGGGGCAGCTGGCTTTGGTGAGCGCTGCTCCTGGGCTTCCCTGGGAAGGGGGAGTTGGAAAGGGAGCAGTTCTGTTCCTGTCCCTCCTCAGTGAGATGGGAGAGATGAGAACCGAAGCAGAAATCTGCTGCAGCTAAAGGAAGGCCGCTCAGGGGTTGCATTTAATTCCCTACCTATGTTTTTCTCAAAGTGCTCCTCCAACGTGAATGTATCAGTGGATTGTTCTGTTACCAAAATGTGGAGCCTGAAGCACTGGTCAGGAGTTGTCTCTCGTTTCTTCTCCATTACTTACAGCCTGGGGCAAAAAAACTCAACAGATCTGACCATGTTGTGATGTGCAACAGCCTCTTGGTTCAGTTTTTAGTGTAAGAAATAGAGGTTCTGAAAGGGGCAGCCCCTTCTCTTCAGCTGCCCTTGTGCGGAGGGAACGTGGGGTTACACACTCGCTAGCTGAGGCCGCAGCAGCACAGAGGGGCCGCAGCTGGGCCTGCAAATTGTCCCGCAAGTCCTTTACAGGACGGGGCTTCAACCACGGCAGCTCTGATGCCGAGGGCTTGTGTTGTAACAGCAACGAGCTCAGGCTTGGTTCTCCCGTCAGCCGTTTCCTGTCATTTGGGAAGATCTTAAAAACTGGATTTTGTTACAATTGAAAAGAGTATCCTTAAATTTGGGGTTCATAAATCATATTTAAGGGGGAGAGAGGCAGCAACTGCCTAACATAAAGAATAGTTCATGTAAAATATAAGCCACTTATTTTGTTTTGTTTTACTGTGTTCCACTTGCTATATAAAAACCTCTGAGCTGCACTGGTTTTATAAAAAAAACAAATAAGAAATAGAAATATGTAATATGGATGTATAGGAGAACATTTTCATTGTTATGAAGCAAGAGTTTTGTTGGAGCATGTTCAGAAAGTGCTTGTTTGTTGAAATTGATTTCTCTAGTGTGCATGTATTCAGTTATTAGGTTGCAAGGCACAAAATTTGGCAGTTTCTAATATAACCTAAGGTTTCGAGGGGAGGGAAATGATTTTTATTTATTTATTTGCTGCTGTTCGTATTCTGACCCCCTTCACTTAAATGCTTTTCAAGTAATAGTGTTACTGTTCATAGCCAACACAAATCCAGCTTAAAATAGTTACTGTTTTCTGGGGAGGTTATGAATTCCATACTATGTGTCCTTAAGAAATCAGCTCTGCCAAAAAGCTGGAACTCAGCTCAGCCAGCAGCATAGAAAGGGGTAGAAAAGAGAAGCAGTTCAGGATCCGCACACTGAGGTGTTGCCTCCTCGTGTGCCTGCTACAAATACTTGTGAAAAGTGTGTCCTTCCCCAAAAGTCTGGTTTGTTCCTTAAAATTCTGACAGTTGTGGCTACTAGGATCAAGACCTGTGATTATTAATTATTTCTCACAGCTTTAAAAGGAAGGTTGACTATAATAGTGAGTTTTCTATTAACTCAGTATTTTGATGCTATATTAGTGTGCTTGTACTTTGAGACATTAGCATTATACCCTTGAAGTATAAAGCCCCTTTTAACAAGACTGCATTTTAGTGTAGTTCAGCAGAACTAATTGATTCTTTAACTGTGTGCTTTTTTTTGTATTTGAATGCAGCAAGTTACTTTTTATATTTCACTTCAACATCATAATAAGCCTCATACAGATAAATACGTTTTGTCTGGTGTTTGACTCATGTAACCATTGCTTACTAATTAATTGTGTCAAGGTAAGGCTAATTCACTTTGGGAAAAGAGCTTAATTTGCACTCTTTATGTCAAATGTACATTATCTCTAGTTTCCTGCTAAACAACCACTTTAGAGTCTAATAAATTAGTGTCCAATAAACGCCTCATAAATCTCGCGCTGTAAATAGCGGCGCTCATGGCAGCGTCCATGCAGCACGCGTGGCGCGAGGAGGGGCAGCGTCGCCTCCGCGGGAGGTGGGACTGCTGTTATCGGGATATTGATCCCGATCCTCTAATGTGCTTTTAGATCCCATTAAACTATTGTAAAAGTGCATTCAGCAGAAGTTGAAAAAGGTACTTAATAATTTGCACATTAGACCTGCTAATAGGGGAGCTATGTGATCGACCTTTTTTCCTCAGATAGCTTTAGTTTTTGATAGAGAGTCAGGGAATGCAAGGATGTTGCAGCAGCTGTTAGATTAGCTGCATAAAATGGAAGCGCTTAAAAAGTCTCTAAAAAATACCAGCTATATATTTGGTTACAGAGTCCTTTAGGTAATTGTATTGTGTATTTTAATTTTTCCTTTTATCTTGTAAATTGGAAGGTGATAAAATACTTATAATAAAAAAATACCTTCTCTTCTTTGGACATATTATGCCCGTGTACTTCCCTCTCCCACCGTCCCCCCAGCGCCAGCAGTGAGGCAGGCGAGTTCTGAGTGTGTTCTGGGGAGGAGAGGAAGATGCATGTGTGTCCTGCTGCTCCTTCAGAAACATTCCGTTCGCTACTCAGGCTCTTCTCAAACAATAATTCTGGAGATGGTATGAATCAGAACAGCCTGAATGTGGTCAAAAGATTCCATAAAGGAAGGCCTTCATAAAAAAAAAAAAAGAAAACCCAGAAAAGCACTTTAACATATGAAGCAGCAGTGTCTGTGAAATCGAAATAGTATCAAATTGGATGTCAAAATACCTTTTTTTTTTTTTTTTTCTTTTAAGATAATGCAAATGCTATTTCTGTTACTAAAAATATATTAGCTGACAATTGGAGAGTTCTTGGCCTTTAAATTTCTTGAGAAAGAAACCTTAAAAATGATTATGAAATTTCTGTCCTGTCAGCTTCTTTCCTAGGATACAGTGGCCTCGATGAAAGATTCTGGAGGGTGCTCAGAAGCAAAATGGTTAAGTTGATACTGATCCTTCTCAGGCAGATTTATAACACTTACGGTAAATGCATTCTTAGGCATTCACATGCAAAATCCTGCCGGGGACCCTTGCCTGAACATCTGGAAGGCAGATGCCAGGGAAAGAAAGAAAACCTTCATTTATTTATTTTTAGAGTGGTGAAAAAAAAATATATAGGAATCATCTGGATAAAAGTGACCAGATTCCAAGAGAAGGGGTAGAATATTCTCATTTGTTTCATAAACAGGTTTGTAGAGTTCTTGTCCTTATCTCAAAGTTTGCTTTTTGAAATAGCACCGAGTGTCATCAGTCTTCGAACACAACAAAACTCTTCCTAGCTCAGAATAGCTGGGTGAAAGATTCGGAGTCTTTCCTAAAATATTTCCCACTTTACTCTCCAAATATTCCGCTTTTCTCCATTGATTTCCCAAATTGATTCTGTTTCACCAATTTTATGTTGTTTTTTTTACTAAGTTTTTTTTATATTATTGTGATTTATTTCAGTATTATTTTCAGCTCTGATACCTGAAAACTTCTTTGCAGTATGTATCATAGTTTAACTCAGTGCTCCCCTGAACCCATTCCTTAAATGTAAGTGTACAGAAAATACAGGTTTGAACAAACCTTGATATTCATATGTTTGAATGGGAATATACATGAAAGCTGGGCATGTTTTCTGGAAGTAGGTTCTCACGGAAACGTGTAACTGAATTTATAGCCAAGAGACACATTAGTGCTTAGGAAGTGTGTGCAACAGTAGTGGGAGCTGTGTCTAACTGCGAATTGGAGGCCTGATGTAGAAATCTGCACTCATGTGCTGCAAATAGGGAAGTAGCTTTTCTTGCAGATTTTTTTAATGTTATATTTTTTTTTTTATCCCACATCGATATTTCTCCTTCATTTTAAAGATACACTATGTCAGTGTGGACTAGAATTCAGTTATCTGTGGTATTATATTAATGTTCTAAATAGCTGTTTTCTGAATAAGATATATACTTTTTAAAAAGTGGCTTTAAAATATATAAAAATATGTAATTTTGATACCTAACCAAATTAAAATGATTTTTTTTTTAATTCAGAGTTAGAAAATAGAAATTGGGTGCTGAGGGAAGGATGCACGTTGTGAGGAGATTTTCTGTTCTCTCACCTCTGTGTAACCTGTGTTACTGTTTTGCACCACCTAGTGGTAAAATTGCATGGATAACAATAAAATCCAAGCTGGGAAATCTTATAAGATGTAATTGATTGTGTTGTGACCTTTTTGAACAGGAGCTGTTTAACAAACATTCCTGACACTCAGGATTGAGTGGGAATCCTACAGTAGTACCATTAAAATACTATGAAAATAAAAAAAATGAGTGAAATGGGCACCGTACCTCGGTTTACTATAGTTTCATTGCCAGCCCAAATTTCAGCAAGTTCTGTCTTCTGCTTAACATTCTTCTTACTCTTTGTGGTACAATGTATTTATTATTCCTGCTACATTCAGCCTGTATCTCTCGCACTGTGGTGGTGGTTTGATCTCACACAGACAAACTCCGCAAATGGCTGCGAGATCCCAGGAAATCTGTGACGCTCGCTGAATGCCACAGTTTTATCTATAGGGTTTTTGGCACAAAGAGCGCTTGCTCAGGAATCAGGATGTACTGCTTTGAGGGAAAAAGGAAAAGCAGCAAAGACAGGCGCCCAAAGAGGAGCGGAGCGTTCCCTGTCCTGTGGGTCGTGTCCTGGTGCCGGGGCCTGCGCTGGCCCTCGCGGAGAAGGGCCGGGCCCGGCGGCTCCCGCGCGCGGGCTGGCCCGGGTGCTGGCGAGCTCCTCGCCGCGGCCTCGAGGGCACCAGCCGCTTGCAGCGAGGGGCTCAAGCGGGCAGCGCGGCATATCCTCAACGCTGGTGCCAATTCAGGATCGGGGATCAAGGCAAATCCTCCCTCACGCGGAGAGTTTGCACCGGGATAGCCTGTCTCTGGAAAAACAAATGTGTTCTAGCTCCTCTGTGGACTTGCTGATTTAAATCCAGGAATCTCCAGATAGAATTCTCTGGCCTGTGTTATCTGGGAGGTCACATAACATCTTAGTGTTCTCTTTTGGCCTTAAAAATCTATGAATCAGTAAAAATGTGAATGTAAAAAGAGCTACAGATTTTTCATGGTAACACTTTGTGTTTTGCTTAGCAGTGGAACAACTCACATTTTTAGGAAGGATGTTACCAGATAAGCTATTCATAACTTATCTTTGACTATCTCTATTATAAAGATGTGGTATGTGTTATAAAGATGCATACAGTTTGCTAACATAAAAAAGAAATCCCTGACTTCAGAGTATAGAAAAATAGAGGTTGAGAAGGTGAACACATCTGTTTTCCTTTTTTCCTTTTTTTTAAAAAAAAAATTAATAATCTTTTTAATATTCTTTTCATAATGGGCTACTCAGCAAAACTAGACTTGTGTGGGATATGTAAAGGTCATTTATGTTTTAAAAACTGCCCGTGATCCTATTGTAAGTTGCTTTGCATCTTAGCGCGGTGACGGTATCTTTGTTTTGTTTCTGTTATAATTATTCCATGGTGATTTATCCCGGTGCGCTTGAACAAAAACTAAGTTTCTCAGTAGAATGATAAGATTTGGGATGTTTTAAAATACTACAGAATATGTTTAAGCTAGCTTTACAGCAGCATAAATTTGAACGCTTATGATTGTGAATCAGCTCCGCATCAGAATCTTGATTTGGACTTGGAGGGCATTTCTGTACCCTTGCAGCTGAAGATCCCGCTCTGAAAACTGGGTTCCCTGTTCTCTTACACTTATCACAGAATCACAGAATGCTTAAGGTTGGAAGAGACCTTTAGAGACCATCTAGTCCAACCCCCTGCACACGCAGGGTCACCTAGAGCACGTGGCACAGGACTGCGTCCAAGCGGGTTTTGAAGATCTCCAGAGAAGGAGACTCCACAACCTCTCTGGGCAGCCTGTTCCAGTGCTCTGGCACCCTCACTGTTAAGAAATTTTTCTTAAGTTCATGTGGAACTTTTGGTGCTTCAGTTTGAGTGAACAGGAGAAAAGTCCACTTGTAATAATCTTTTATCTTAATTTGAGGTGAATATTCTTGAATATTTTCTAGTTACTCTCAAGTATGTGAATTTCTTACCGGAATGTTTTGTGGTGTAACTTCCTGTTTGCAGCACACCAAGTTAATGTTTACCAAGTTATGAAAACTGTTGTGTTTACAGGTGGTTGAGCTGAAGCCGGGTGGAAAAGATATCCCTGTGACCAGTGCTAACCGCATCGCATACATCCATCTGGTGGCAGACTACAGGTTAAACAAGCAAATCCGGCAGCATTGCCTCGCGTTCCGCCAGGGGCTGGCCAACGTGGTCAACCTGGAATGGCTTCGAATGTTTGATCAACAGGAAATACAGGTATTGTTGCTTAAAATTCCTCGAGCCTTTACATCAAGCATTCAAACATTTAATTTATGCCTTTAATTTAAACATTTAATTTTCCGTGATATAATTGTCCTATTTACTATTAGGTTTTGATATCTGGTGCCCAGGTTCCTATTAGTTTGGATGATCTTAAATCTTTCACAAACTATTCAGGTGAGTATATTTTACTTCAACAAAAATATCTTTTATAACTGATTCAGGAATAAATCAATTTGCTTTGCAAGCTAGCTTATCTTTAAAAAGAAGGTCCAGGGTGCTTGTTGCTGGCCTTGGTGGCCGAACTCTCTAGATTTTTCAGAAGGCTGGGAAAAATTGCCAGCACATGTTATAAATGTGGGGACAGATAGGTGTGTTGTTTGTTGTATTTGTGCACTTAAATACAGGTTTGTAGACAATAGTTAGAGAATATGTTCCTTTTGTAACTGGAACATAGTCAGTGGTTGTGTTTAGCTGCCCTCAAATTAAGTCTGCAAATGATTTGAGGGTAGTTGTTTCTGCAAACACATTCAGATACTTACATTTTTTTCAGAAAGCCTGAGGGACTGCTCATATTTTTTTCCCTGTTAGAAATGCTTGGCATCTTAAATATTTTTTCTCTGCACTCATGAATATAACTAAAGACTAGCTAAGGTATCAGAAGTTCACTTCCTACTTTACCTTAAAGTAAGTTGGTTTATGAAATAGTCTCCTGAGTCTGCATGTTTTACAAATTCTTGCAGTGAATTACAATAATCCAAAGGTCCTAAACAAATACTAAAATAAAACTAATTCAAAATAAACAAGTAAGGTTCATTGGAGAAAACTGCAGTTAAGAAGTTGAAGGAGGAGGTTATGTGTAAGGTGAGCAATGAATGAGGAACTTTAAAATGTAATGCTCAGAGATCTGGATGTAATGGAGGTCAGCAGTGCAAGCCTGCTGCTTTTAATAATTTCTCAAAACTTTTAAAAGTAGGTGCTAGGTTTCTCCAAAGACTTCCTTTCTTATGTAAATCTTGTCATAGGTGGCTATGCAGCAGATCATCCTGTGATAAAAATATTTTGGAGGGTTGTGGAAAGCTTCACGGATGAAGAGAAACGCAAACTGCTCAAGTTTGTAACGAGCTGCTCTCGACCGCCTCTTCTGGGGTTTAAGGTTTGTGTCTCCCTGCCTTTTGTTGATTTCTGTAAATGTTGACAGTTGTGGTACAAACTTTATTTGTCTGTATGAGAGAAATGTCCCTTGGTGACTAGAGATAACAGTTTCAGTCTTTAGACTTGGCTATAATGAGTATAGTTTTAAAATATTTCAAGAAACATGCAGTAGGTGTAAAAACATTTACTGTAGCATTGGTTCAAGTGCTTGCTTTTTGTCATGAATGCTCCTTGCTCCTGAGCTTTGCTTGTGTTCCCTAGTAAGGGACAGAAGCAGCATTGGCAGCATCTTCAAGGAACAAATGTTTCCAAAACTGGACAAAGGGAGGAGGACTTAGAGTGTATCGACAGCTATTAAATATAAGTGTTTGAAGCTGGAGATGTATTTCTTAGGTTTCCTCTAGATTAGCATTTGTATGCTTACAAGATTAAGGCTTATCATTCTTTATATGTAAGTATTTTGCTACTATCTTTAGATTGGTATTTACAGTGAACTTTTAGCATGAATAAAATTTTGGTCTACTGTTTAAAAAGCCAAAGAGAGACCAACTTGAAAACATTTTGATATTAAATTCTGAGGATACTTTCACCAGAAGTTCCAGTTTGGCTGCAAAATTCTGGCTACGATTTGGCCTTGGATGTCATTTCCTTAAGGAATGGGGGAACGTTCAATGCTTCTCTGTCATTCACCGGAAAATACAAGTTACTTAGTAGAAACATCATCAGTTTTAGTGAGCTGCTCAACAGAATATTTGTCTGTTGCACTCTTTCAAAAAATAATTCAAAAGTCAGCTTCTCTGGGTCATAAATACACATTTCGTGCAATTGCTTACAAGTAAAAATACAATGAGTTACTTTGGTTTCCTTAGATGTGCTGCTAAACATTTAAAGGCCCCTAACATTATAAGATAGTGAGATGTAATGTTTAGTTAGCAGTGGATAGTAACTGATTTTCTATGTTTATTAGGTTAAACAGGTAGAGGAGTCCATAACACATCAACTTGAAGACAAAATATCTTTTAAAATTGTTTACATTTTTTTCTGTGAGGAACTGAATTTCTGATTCTCATTCTAAAATCTCCTGCATAGTCAACTGTAGAACTGTCACATTTTGTTAAAGTTGGTGTATATTCCTTTAAGATAAGGAAATACCTTGAGATTCATAGCTTACAGGTAGCACAGTCTAGCTTTGCATCACTTAAAAATTTAGAACTTTCATTGCCAGATTCAGACTCAAAATAATATTTGCTAAAGCTAATTAAAGTTTAATAAGTTTAATAAATGTGATTGTTACGGACAAAAAAAATCATTAAAGTGAGGTTGAAAATTGTTAAGTTCCAATCAGGTCACATAATAAATGGATGATACTTTTTAATTCCCAACTATTGCAGTTCCCCACTGTACAGTACTTAATTATGCAACAAATGGTGCCCTTGGCATGACATTTCAATTTAGAACTTCATTTTTCCATTTTTAAACTAAAGTAGAGGAATTCAATTAGCATTTTGAGAGGAACACTAAAAATGCAGCATTTTAGCTGTGAAATACATTTTAAGACCTCCATTTGAACAATAATTTAGCTTAAAATCTCATTGACCTTCTGCCTTTGGAGCGGGGATTTTTTTTGTAGTTTCTGAAATCAGCACTGTTTTAGCTCAGCAAGCATTTGATGAAATTAATACTTTCTTGCCAGCAAAAGCAGTGCTTGAACAGTTGAAAGAAAAAAGAAAAAGCCTTTTGTGCAATCACCTTTCGCAGAAGAAGAAATTAGATTTATTTAAGCAATTAAAACTACCTATAAAATGTCTGTTCCTCAGATCCATTCTTATCACATCAGAGGACTAAGCAGAGTTTGACAAATTGGTGTTGTTGCAGGCTCATTGGGCACATCTGTATCATCCCAGTATCTGCTGAATGATCTTGTAATCTCTTAGCACCTGAAGAAATGTACGGTATAATTGCTTTAAAGAAAGTTAGCTCTTTATCTGGAGAACGGGATCTCTTGATGCACAGGGTTATAACCACAGTAGTGGGTCATGTCTTCACACTTGGCTTTATCTTATGCATGAACAGGCCCATGGAATTCATTAATACTGGTTGTCTTCAAACTCATGTGTTTTAGGCACTCTGAAAGATGAGTTCACCCTGAAATCTCTTCAGGGAGAGGAGTTAGGCCTTGCGCCTTGGTCTTGGATACGTTGAATTTAACAATACATTCAACAATGAAAATTATGATGTTTATATGTGGTGTATAAAAAGAAAATGGTGGATTGGTAAATCTTCACCCAAGCTTGAAGAATGTTTTTTATGTATTTACATTATGCTGTCACACTAGCTCAGGGAGGAAACCAGGGACAGGTCCTGTTAGGCAATGTTGGGGGGGGATGGATTTGGGGAGGGGTGTCAGAGGAAGCAACACAGTAACACGAATGCATCAAGTTTCTGTTTATGACTTGCCTGCTCATTTACCCTCTCCCCCTCTTCAGAGCATCACGTTGACATGACAAGTAAAGGATCATACAGAATTCATGTATATAAGCAGGATACTTCAAAAGTCCGATACAAAAATGTTCAAACTGGCTCAGCACATTGCTTTAGTAGCAAGAGTAAAAAATTAGGAAAAAAAAAGATAGGGGCAGAAAGTGTAATTCTCAGAAGAAACTGTTTCATGCCATGCAAAGTGAGCTTCAGGCAGGGCAGGACAATCCTTTCCATTCTTCTCTGTTTGTTCAGTGCTTTGTCCTTCCCGAGTTAAGCACCTATTTTTCACTGTTAGAGGAGCTGGAATCTGTCAGCTACACCTGTTCCTGCAAGATACCCAGCATCGTGTGTGTTCAGGAGGCTCCGTACGGAAAGGCTGAAGTTGTTGTGGATCGTTAGTTTCTCCCAAATACAACAAAACCCTTCTTGCGTGCTGTTGTACTGTTATTTTTGTGTCTCACTTCATTGCTAGCACCAGGTATTTGCAGAGCAGAGTGTGTGAACAATAACATTTTTTCCCTCAAAAGCAGGTGCGACAACCTTCTGTTTTGTAGTATGATGGATCTGGACAGGCAGAGGTGCTGCACAATTTGAGCGCTTGTCGGGGAAACTAGCAATGCAGTTACCTTTAGAACACGTCTTTGTGACTGGTTTTAATAATTTATTTCCTAGAAGTCTACCAGATGTTTTGGGTTAGATTTTTGGCCCGTATATATTTTTGATGCATTCTTTTTCCCTGTTGCTCTTTTTCAGGAGTTGTATCCTGCATTTTGCATCCACAATGGGGGATCGGATTTAGACAGGCTACCCACTGCCAGTACCTGCATGAACTTGCTGAAGCTTCCCGAGTTTTATGATGAAAATCTTATGCGGAGCAAGCTGCTTTACGCCATCGAATGTGCTGCTGGCTTTGAACTGAGCTGAGTTGAACTGCTGCTCGTGCGGCCGACCTGCAGAGGAGCTAACAGTGCCTACTCCACACGCAGCACCAAGCAGTTCTAAGGGAATTCTGCCTAGATTTCTGCAGCTCTTGGGTCTTATCAGATGCCCTCAAATAGGTTTCATTTTTAAACACAATTTGTTAGGTAGCTTTCATTGATTAATATTACATTGACACTGCTTTATGATTCAACTAATGAATGCTGTGTGCAGTGTGGCTGTTTTCTGTGTTTAGGCGAAGGAAGAGCACATTTAAAGAACAGTGACATCTCAGTAAAGTTAACCAAAGATGAAGCTTTGGCTTTGTGCTGTTGAAATATAAATAACTTCACAAACTGGCAATAAAGTTGTGTACCATGCAGCACGCTGGGAAGAGACAGGGCTAACACCCTGTAATTAATCTTTTAGATGGAAGTGGAAGCGGAGCAGATGGAGCTTGCAGATCTCCCAGAACTGAGGTTGAAAACGCTCGTTACTGATAACCCAACATCTTTACTTCCGTGGTAGAGTTGTTTACAAACTGTAGTTGTTGCAATTAAGTCAGAACTGATTATCATTATTTTGTACTGCCTTCCCTCAGAATGGTAGGCACTGAGATAAAAACTGTTATAAACAATCTTTTATTTGTGCTTTCTGAAATACCTTTGAGAAATCGGGTTCGCATGCTTGTTTTGAGTTCAACCTTTGGCTGCATCATTATCACTTGAACACTGTCGTAAATGGATGGGACTGTCCATGTTCTCTCTGTTCTGTTTTGTCTTCTTGCCTGTACAGGGTTTTTTGTTTTGTTTTTTAATGTGTCAGACTCCTATTGCATACCCAATACATACAGAAGTCATGACTTTGGAAAAATTATACATGTAACAACTATTAAAATGATTTAAACCAAAGTTATCAGGCTTTATTTTTTGTAGCTGAAGCCTGTGGTGTTCACATTCCTTTTCCCTAGCATTTCTTTCCATCTTAAATATCATATCTTTGCTCCAGACACTTTTTTTTTTTTTGAGATTAAACAGCTTCTGTATTCATCTGCCTGCAGTACTTCTACTAAGAAAAGTAGGTGGGAATATGCTGCTTAATATCTGTTTGCTGGGAAAAGCTTGGTTTCATATGGAAGGAACTGAGTCGCTGGTAATAGGCACATCAGTGGATATTCTCCTGTAAAGTGCAGTCAACTTCAAAAAGGAATTACAGTTCAAACTGTAAGATTCATAAACAATGAACTTTAGTTCCCTCTGAACTTTAGTTCTATATTTTAAATCATCACAACTTGCTATCAGATTTGTATTCATCTCTTATGCAAAAAAAAAATTGCTGTTACTGGAAACTGTTGGATTTCATATTTAATAAGCAGTAACCAGCAATATCCTTTTAAATGTGGGGAAGCTGAGTGATTTTAAGATGTTTACTAGTAACCATATAAAAATGTATAATTTCTTAATTCGGGTAATAAATGAAGTGTTAAAATACTATTTGTAGTCTTGATGTACAGAAATAAAAAGATTGGTTTTCTTTTTGGTTTTGCATTAGGCTTTTTATTTATGTTAAATGGTAGTTACCCCAAAATTGGTTTCTTGTATATTTTTCTACATAAATTATGAAACTTATGAAAGGAAATCAGTAATAGTGCAACTGCCGCCTCCTAATAGCAAAACCTGAGTACTTCTTTCAGATAGCATTATTTATTTTATAAGCCAATGCTTTAAATATTTTGAAATTATTTTTCAACTCCCTTCTTTTGCTACATTAATAGTGTTGTATTTGTATGTTGTAAAATGCAAATTAAAAAATTCTATTAAATAATTGTATTTTGAAGATTGTGTTGGAGTCCTGCCACATGACCCTGGCTATATAATGTATAATTTCTGCTTTTGTTTAAGGAGACCGGGCATACTATTACCATGACTACAAGTTGGACCGAGAGGATGGGCTAAAGGGAAATAAGATTTTCAGGGGGTTGTAGTCGTGTTCCTGGAAGAATCGTGCAGTTGTACAGAACCTCAGCAGAGGCTTTGAGCGCTCTGAGAATACACTGACTTGTTAATTTTTTCAGTACCTAGCACTTGGTGATCCTGTTTTATATGCTCTGTACATGGAGTAGGAAATCCTGACGTATTGAATTTGGTGAGATTGTAGCCGGAATTTCGTTTTAAGCTTTAAGTCAGCTGGAAGTCTGTTCTGCAACAGCTTATTTACCCATGAGTTTTAGTACCCAGACTGCAATCAGAGGGGGATAGGAGCTTCTTTTGGCAACAGGTATTTTTACTTTTGACTGTCAACTCTTCTTTTAGTCAGGATGAATCATGAGTCTCTACTTTGCAAAAATCTGCTGCTGGATATTCTAAAGAGCCAGAAATAAAAGGAGAAATATTATAGGTATAGCAAATTATGTCCTGAAGAGTCAAGTTGTATAGATGTAGCCCTTGGATAGCAAGCTCTGCTTACATATGAAAATAGATTTTTGTTTTTTAAAGCAAAAGCAAATTCTCTCCAAGTTACGATGCTCTCAGAGCTTAGACAGACAGAAACATTTTGCATGTAAAGCAACCTGAAATGATGCAGTTTTGGGTGATCAGAATTACAGCAGTACTAGTTACAGTTTTACAGTTATCTTCTGTGCAAGACACCACTTGCTTAACCTCTGTACTTAAGTGAGTGTCCTCCTGTCTCGGGACTCGTCTATTGAGAAACGATGGCATTTTTTGGTTCTTTTGCAGGTAACTAAGAGAACACTGCACACTTGCAAAAGCATTTTAGAAACAGCTTTGTGAAAGTTTAACTTTAAAGTGGAGGAGAATGTGAAATCATGTCTCCACAGGAATGAAATTAGTACTTATTCTGTTTATCTTGGTGAGAATTTCTCTGCACGTAAATTTAATCCCATTAAGTAGATTTTAAAAAAAGACCTGAAATGATTTTCCGTGGTATCATTTTCCCTTGTTTTCCATCACGGCTCCTGGTTCCATAGTTGTGTGACTCTTGCGAATAGAGAATAAGTTTTGCAGGGAAGATCTACGTCAACGTGCAGGGAGGACTTGGCCCCAGCTTCATATGTGAACACTGTGCTGGTAGAAGCTTAATTTGAACAACAGGGATATCTTTGGTTATTTTTGCATGGGATGCTCCATGCAGTTCCAATAAAATAAGTTTCCTGATGCTATTAGCAGCAGTCCTGGCTGTTTGTTTTGGCATCACTAAAGTAAATTTAGCAGAAATGGCCTCATTTGATCTACAAAGGGATTTGAAACTCAAAATATTTTAACAGGTTCAGTGTACTGATGCTAAAATTCAGTTCATTTAAAGCAAAAGCTATTTGTAAAAAGCCAGTGAGACAGCACTTGCTCCTTCTACCACTGAAATACAGTACAGCACTGAAAGAAACAACAACAAAAAAGCTGTTTTTCTTTGAATATTTTGTTGAAATTGTAGTTTTTTTGTTTTGTATTTATAATTATATGCAAAAACTTTGAAACATTTGCTTATATACATGGACCTGTGTTAATAAGAATCTGTGATGTAAATGCTTATTATTTTTTTTTCATGATGTTTTTGCCTGTCAGTGACAGAAGAAATGAATGTGATCTGTAAAACTGATCAGGATACCTATATTTTTATTGACTTCTGCTTTTGTGAATAAAACAATTTGAGTTTTCTTGAAACTTTGCAGAAACACCTTTTCCTTTTGTTGTTTTTGCAATAAATTGGGCATTTTGTGGCTAAAGTTTGACAGTACTGAAACAGGTTTGAAGAGGGAAGTTGATATAAACCCTTGCCTTGAAATTACCACTGCTTCGTGTTGATTTGCAACTGCAATTTTCGGACTCTGTCAGTCAAACTGCATCTCTGAGGTTTAACTTTGTTTCAATGTGTCTTTTAAAAAGCTCCCTTAGGATATCCTCAGTTACCCGCCTTTGACAAATCTCTTCAGGATGTTTGGAAAGAACAAAACTCCATTCCTGCATGGATGAAAATAGGAGAAACTATAATGCAAGTACCAAAACATCTTCAGCTCCTTCTGGATTTTCTCTTGCAGTACCTATGTGGATCACTCTGAAGGTGTCATTTAATTATTCTTCCTTTTGACACTTCACAGTTACCTGCTTCTCTTTGCTTTTCTTAGTTTTCCTGTGACTAACCACCCTTTTAATTGCTCAGTGACGTTTATAAAGTTACTGTCGTGCATGCTTACTTTGCAACTGAAATGCTTTCAAATGGCCCGGTATATTCTTCAGTTGTCGTTAAAAAAGCGGCTTACAGAAAATTGCCAAAAACTGATCTTGTAAGACACTCCATAATGTAGATAAAAAGATAATATGAATAGCACACAAATGCTTAGATTTTGTATTTTTTCTCTGTCTGTACCTAGTAGTCTTGTAAAGTCAGTAAAATTTCTTACGTTCAGGGAGAGATGACGCAAGGGAAAAAACGTCAGCTGCGGTTGCTCATGTTTCCCAGGATGGCTGAGGTTGGATGGTTCCTCATCCTGGGAAGCCCAGAACTGACCTTGGCATTCCAGCTGCATCCCAGCCATGCTGTGCTAAGCAGAGGGGAGGACCTTCTCCCTCAACCTGCTGGAGCACCTACCTTGCTATAGAAGACGTTTGACTTGGCACTTGTGCCATGCTGAGGCAGTAATTTCTTGAAAACAAATTGTTCAGCTTTGTTCTATAAGTGTCACCAATTTATTCACAAGAACCTCTTACAGGAGTTGAAAATATTGAAGTGGGTAGGAGTCTACCCCAGGATTAATTCTGTCTTGTTTTTGGAGTAAAGAATAAAAGCAGAGAATTTCCATATGAAAAGTAAAAGACACTGAACTGACTCAAATTATTCATTTTCTCTAAACAGGGCTTCATTGGCTTCATGTAGGTTGCTCAGTAAGATCCAAGTAAAGAATTCACAAAACCTTCAACTGTTCCACAGATTGTTTTCTCCCATGTTTAAGTAATCAAAGTATGTATTAACTTTGATCTTGCTCTGTGTGTAGACTGTATCTAGGTCAGAAGGGCATTTTCTTGGTCAAACTCCAGTAACTTGGTGCTCTCCTGGGCAGGACGGATGCAAGGTGTGCTAGGTGTGAGCCAGACCCGTGTGTCACAGACAAACTGGAAACGTGGGGAGTTCTCAGTGGCAGCGCTGGGTCTGCTTGTGCAGTGCTTAAATCACCGCCGCCCTCCAGTGCTGGAGCAGCTGGTCCCCAATGGGGGGCTGAATTTCCTGCGTACAACTCCTGAGAACATGTGCCCTGTCAGCAGTATTTGCTAGTGCTTTTAGACGAACAACTGCTGAAGATGGATGTTTAATTCTTTTCTACATTCCCAGAGCACTTGTTACTTCATTCTATAGATCGTTTGAAAAATAATTTTGCATCCATTTCTATTTAATTCTTTGTTTATAGTTACGCAGAGCTCT